TTTATAGGCTTTATCAACTCTTAAGCATTACATTTCAACAACTTGATTTATGCTAGGTTGAAGGAAATATGTGTAACAGGGATGTGCCTTATGTATCAGTTATGTTTAGACTGTAGCATCCTATTTAGATGGGAGAATAATGCTTTGAATGCCATTTGGAGAGATGCGATTTTGTTTAGAAATATACAACTGATGTGATATAGAAACTGAATTTTTTTGGTAGTCTGAATTGAATATAACGAATATTCAGAGTTAGATTTCTGGTGTAGGTTTTTTTTTTGTGTTTTTTTTTTTTTTTTTTTTATTTTTTATTAACTATGTTTAAGGCTATAACTTGACTAGTAAATGAACTAATACTAACACCATGTTTTAGTCATGGTGATTCACAAAGAACTCCCCTCCCCATCCCAATGTAGATATGGTAGCAATATGCCTTTCAGTCCATATTTATATTTGTTAAAGTGTTAGCAGCAGGAGTTTTGAATTGGGTCCAGCTTTTCAAGTCTGGTGGAAGCTAAACTACTTGATGAGATAGCTACTTGCTAATAAGCTTCCAGTTTAATAGCAGTTCCTCAGCAGTAGTTATTAGTTGGCTTGTTAGGTTCCTACCTCCACCATCCCCTTGCTCCCCCCACCTCTTTCCCCCATTCCCCCCTCCATTTTCTGCAATTTTGTTTTTCTCCTGCTGTATAGGGAAGGATCTTTTGGGTTGCTTGTTCACTGCCATAGACTCCATTTCTAATGTAAGACAATGTTACTTGTTTAGTACCTTGCTTTTCTTGATTTACCTTTTAACCTTTACGGGCGCTGAATATGCCAATACAATTTGTTAGAGAATGAAGTTGTTTTTACAGTAGGTGAATTCACCTTTCAGTGGCTCTGAACAAGGTGTGTTCTCATGTTTTAAACGTCATGTTTTTCTGTTTCCGAGTGCAGGTTAATGATGTGTCTGCAGCTGAGAAGTACCATTTAAAATGGCAAATAAGGGACTAAAGTTAGGGAGAAAGGCTTCATATAGTGCCAAAACCTCTTAATAATTGTTTTAAAATCTAAATTTAATTTATTGTACAAATGTTTTGAAAAATTCTCTTGTGTATGTCTGTGCATATTTAGTGAATGACACACACACTTTATTACCGACATTATTGAAATAGTAAATTGGCATTAGTCTATGCTAACTAGATAAGTAGAAACAGTGCATGTTCTCTTGGCTTTCAAGAAAAGCAGTAATAACTGATGTTGTGTTAATTTATTCCGTCGTCTTAAAATCCAGTGTTAAATGTTTCGGGGTAAATTGTTTTACTTTAAGAAGGTGAACTGGTAACATTCACAAAAAATGAAGTCCAGCTTTCATTGTACAAGGTATGCTTCTGCCAGTAAGTAATAAACTGCATCTGTCATGGTTGTTTGCCCTAATGCTGGAAACTTTGTTTGGGCGTTTACATAGCATTGAGAATGTTTGTCACCAGACCCCTGATCCTGTCCCTCGTGCCCCCCATTTTGCTTATTGCTATACATTTAGTGCATGTTTCTGTATCTGTTTGTATATAATATTTTAATATATTTATATATCTACTTTTTAATGTAAACATTTTAGCACAGGCACTTGCCTTTATAGTTGTTCTTTACATTAAGTGAAAAGAGTTTAAATAGTTTGGTAGATGTTTAGTTTAAGATAGTTTAAACGAAGTTGGTGAGAGGCTTGTATACATGAGTTAAGTTAAAGCTGTTAACTGATCTTTAGGGAAATACATACATTACAACAAAACACTTCTTTTAAATTTGTTCTTTAAACTCACAGCAGCAAAAATTGAAAAACTGTTCAATGCAATATTAGATAGCAGTGCTGACAGATGGAAAAAACAATTTATTCAGGTAATACAATAATTATTAAAGGAACATTTCTTTGCAAATACATATATATATGTATATATATGAGTGATTATATACTAGCTGGTGGTACTTTTACGAGTAACGGTAGGATTACCTAAAGCCTAATCCAAATACAAGCTTTGTTACAAGAAAAAAAATTATTCTTGGACGTTATGCTGTGGAAAAGTTAATATGTCAAAATTATATGTTGAAAACCACACAAAAGACAAAACAGTTCTGTAAGTACTGATCTGAGCATTCATAATGTATACTTTTCTGGTGATGTGGTAAAAACAGGTTTCTCATCTGTTTCAGACAATCTTTTAGTTTAAAAACTTTATTTTCACTTTCTTGTTTCTCATTGTTAATGTTTCATATTTAATTTTTGAAATTTGTAATGAATTAAAATTATTTAGAAAGCCTAAGTGTGAAAGGCTTACGGAAATCTGTTTCAAAATGACTGTAATACTTCTTGCAAGTTTGTTTGTAATGTGTTGTTTGGAATACATTAAGCCTGTCACACTACAATGTTTCCTTCTAGTTTTGTGTAAATATTTAAATTGAGAAGTAGGGAAGACTGTTGTGTAATAAGCTTCAGGTGAAAAATAAGTACACTTTCATAAACTTCAGCTGTCTGTCACTTTGAAGATAAAGTGCTGTATTGTGCAATTTGAACAGGTGAAATCTGGCTACCTGGAAGCCCAATCTCACCATGTTTTCCAGCATGATAGAGGTTAGAGCCTTGTGTGGACTATGGATGGACTTCAGGTCCTAGTTCCGTGTGTATTTTAAAAATTGTACTCTTCTGTGTTCCATCAAAATTTGTCCTTCTGTGCAGCAGACCAAACTAAAATACATATAGTTGTATGGATTTGACCCCTTCTAGCATGGTCAGTTGGAGATACTGCTAGCTGAATTTTGACCAGTTATGATGTGTTTAGGTTTTTGTTGTTTTGTCTGCTATAGTAAATTGGAGAAGACTTAGAAAGTGTTCTGCAGTGCAAGAACTTTTTACAAAGCTCAGTTCTGGAATACTTTTTTTTTTTCGGGGGTGGGGAGAGGAGTTAAAGGATGACCTACCTCTAAGGCATACTACTCTTAACTAAAAGAATATCCTGAATTTTAAATTTAGTGAAATCTAAAGATGGATAGCTGAAGTGAAAGGTAGAAACATTCACTTCAGAATGAAGAGGTTTAGCTGTTAGAAGATAGGAATGATGGGAACCTTTTTCCATCAGTTCCTTTAATGGAAATATGGAAAATGACCTTATTCTTGAAGAAGTAAAAAGTATGTTCATAGGTTTGGTCAGAGGACCCAAGTTTGCCAGTTTTCCTGGTAGCATTGAGAAGGTAGTTAAATGTCATACCTGGTTGGATTTTTCAAATCCAGATCTAGAGTGCAGAGTGTGACCTGTAAAAATAAGAGTCCATTTCGTTCTGTGTTTTAAATCTTGAGTAAGTTGGCTTGGGTTAGGCAAACTGAGTTAAGAACTTGAATTCTTGATTATGATTCAGGTACACCCTTAGCAAAACTATTCTGTGCTCAAGTCAGTCATAAATGAATGCAATGTTTTTATACAGGGAATGAGATTAGGTGTAAATGACTTTCCTGGCACAAATTCAGAACTGTATTCTGTAGTTACTGCTGAGAGGTAATTGAGGACTTCTTTATTCTCTTTCCTCCGGAAATCACAGCCATCAACTTGCTTACAAAGATGAGGCTTTTGGAGGATTTAACGTATGTAAATACTTCATATAACTTCCCCCCTGTTCTTACCCCTTATTGTTTCTACTCTTTCAGTGAGTAAATAAAAGTAGTCTTGTTCATAATTTTTTTTTTTTTTAAACTCCTCTTTGGTGTAAGTCCTCACCCCATGAATTTGAACCCTAACAATTAAAAGTATTTTTCTTCTAGTCACAATTTCTGTGGTTTTTGGAAATACAGGTAGCTATTGAACTGCTCTTCTAACATGAAATCAGAGGCTGAATAGCCCACACACTTGACTTGCATGTTTTATAGCCAGAAGTAGAAAAAAGGAAGTCTTAACACTTGCTTCTCTCCTATCTAGATGCCTTCTGTTTTCCAGCATTAATTCACTGATATCCATATATCTTATGATAGTGTTTTCTTTAGCTCTTGAGTCTTTCTTATGTTTATTCCATTGACGTATTTGTAGGCTGAGGTTGTATTACCTTTTAACTGAAGTAAATACATTTTTTCTGGCCTTTCCAAAGAAAGACTTCTATCCAACTGGCTAGCTTTTTATTGCATATGTTCAAGAAAGAGGAATTCGAGCTGAAATTTTGCTGCAATTCTGTACAAGAATTCTGTAAAATATTCCAAATAGTATCTTTCTGGTGCTTTGTTCAATGATGTTAACACTTCCTGTTTCTGCTAGGAAAATCTTGTCTGTCTCTTGGTTTTGGTTTTTGGTTTTCTCTTTCCTCCTATACATGTTGTCTGCATCATGTTTATTACTTGGTTTTTCCTTTTCTGTGGGTGAGCTCATAGTTCATAATGGATATTCTTGTACTTGGTCCTTAAATTCTGAGGTTGTGAATTTCATCAGACTTTGATGTCAGTCCTCTGGGTCATCCTCTTTCTCCAGTGTGATCCTTCTCAGCATTAATAATGCTTCTTGTCTTGCTTTGATCCTTTTCTACTTCTTGTGTCTGGTTCCTTAATGTAAACAATCCTTAAAACTTTCTTTTAGGAGCTCTGCTAGTAACTATTCACCACCATTTTTCTTCTTTCAAAAAAATTCTGGGTAACGTTAACTTTTTTTTACATACTTATGCATTCTTTTTACATTCTTATGCAAGCCTGAGTCATAATTAATATTCTTACATGGTATTATGAGATACTTCACTGAAAGTGAGACGAGAAGGATTTGCTGTGGTTTTTCTCTTGTTTGGAAATGAGTTATCACAAAGGGCTATTGGGTTAGTCTTGAACAGTCCGATTTTCATGAAGCTATGTAACATTTGATTCTTCAGAATTTATTTAGATCAAACTAAGAAATGGCTTACTTAAAAAATTATCTCATATTTATAATTAAAAGCATTTTTTAAAAAAGCACTAATAATACCAGTAAGCTTTTCAAATAGAGTCTGAATATGTCTTTCAGCCAATGGTAATGACAACAAGAAATTCAAAGGTGACGATAAAATGGATGGGGCTCCTTCTCGTGTTCTTCATATCAGGAAATTGCCCGGGGAAGTGACAGAAACAGAAGTTATTGCTTTAGGTTTACCTTTTGGTAAGGTAACCAACATCCTGATGCTGAAAGGGAAGAATCAGGTAATTTGTTACTTTCCATTTTTCAGTATGTTTACTGTCTAATTTCAAAATATGCTGTTAAAATGCTATTGAAATAAATCACATAACAGTAAGTATTTTTTTTTTTAAACAAGCAGCATTTTTATATGAAGGTATACTCTCTTTTAGTAAATTTTTGCGGGAGAACAGGAAATGGTTGGCAGCTACATAAAGCAAAAAGTTACCTGTCAGTTAAATATTTAGTCCTGCATCTTCACGTATGAATTTTTGGAGATGAAGTAGTTTAGCAAATAAAGCTGGTATATAGAGAGTGACATTTTCTGAAGACTGACTTTTGTTAGAATGTGTTAGCAAACCCTTTTAAGTGTTTCATTTATATGCTGCTAATATGAAGTTTATCTACTCTGTAAATACTGAATATTAACTGTTTAATTACAGGCGTTTTTGGAACTTGCTACAGAAGAAGCAGCTATCACTATGGTTAATTACTACTCTGCTGTGACACCTCATCTTCGTAACCAGCCTATCTATATCCAGTATTCCAATCATAAAGAACTAAAGACTGATAATACACTTAACCAGGTATATTTACTGTTAGGCTGTATTACAAATGCAGACAGTAGAAAATGCGGCATAGCCTGTGTTCTTGTCTCATGTGGCATATGTTTAAATCATTTGGTTTTGTCCCCATTCTAACACTACTGTAGCCTTACCTCTGATCATTCCATTTTGTGACATTGAAGGGGATTTGCTTTCTGTGTGATCTTTCCATTATGATGAATTTTCTTAATGTTTTCTTAAAGTAAAAAGATTCCTAAGTGTCTTTTAACTTAAAATTTTTTTCATCAGTTTTCATCTTAGTTTAGAGACTGTAGGATGAAAAAATTAGCTTTCTAATTCTGACATCTGAGATTTTAATGCCAATTTGAATTTCCCTAGTGATAATGACTAATGCCAGTGCTTACGTTTCAGTGCTTTGAATGATTGCTCTGGTAGCATTCATAACCTCGCCTGACATGATCTGCTGTTCCTGGAGAACAACACCTTAATAATCACTGTAGAGACAAATATGCTTAACAATAAAAAAAAGTTTTGCTCTCCCTCTGAAGAACCTATTTCACCATAAATATAGATACCGATATCTGTTTTTAGTAGAACAGGAAAATTAGCAAAAGTAATATGGTGACCATTTAGTACAAATTATAGGTAGAGAAAGGAGATATCAGTTTACCCCAAGTCAGATGATTATTTTAAGGTTAATTTCTTAAGGTTTGTTTTTTGATATTAAGAGTGTAAGTACCAAGTTACAGTTTTGTTACTTGTATTTCCTGTCTTAGGTAAGGTATGTAAATATTAAAATTATAGCTGTTAACCTTTAGAAACAATCAGAGTGATCTGTTGAAAGACAGCTTGGTTCAGATCAAATACAATGTTGATTTTCCTCTTGTTCTTTCTAAACATTCCAGTTCCTTAGAATCTTTTGATAGTTTTTCTGCTAAAGGTACTTTCTGATTTTTGAGATTCCGTCCCCACCTCTAACCACCACCCAAAATGTCAGTTATAAAGAAAAATAAATGCCTTAATTTACTTTTGAAAAAAGAAAATAGAGGATGAATTCTGTCTGAATGTATGGTGGATGGACATACTGCTTAAGAACCTTTCTCTTACGCTGTCCTCTGGCTTCTGTGGTGATACTGGTTTTGTACTTCACATGTCTATCTTTTCAACATATAGGATGTGCTGACTTTTCAGCAGCTTTTATGCCACCATAGGCATTCATACCCAATTTTGACATGGTCACAGTCTTTCAGGTGTCTATTTCTTTAATTTAGAACTAAATGATATAAATGGGTATTTAGTAGTAAGTATTCTGTAACTAGCATCTCATGAGGCATTCCATAAAACATGGGATGGTTGGGTGTTCCTTCTGTACAGAAAAATAAAGATGGTGCAGATATTGCTTGTAGTCTGCCCTTTTGTTTTTCTTTGAAACTCAAAACTTAATTTTTTAATCTGTACATGAAATTTTTCTCATCCAGTCAAATTAATTTTGAAATTTGTCTTTTTCTGGATGTTCAAGCAGGAGAATGTAAAGAAGTTGGGTTGTTAGTACATGTAACTGGAAAGATAGGATAAAAAAACTGGAGAAAGTTGCGAGTATCTTAGTTATAAAAAAGATAGCAAAAAATGTACTTAATCAAGGGGTTCTTTAAACAGCCAGCCCTTTAGAAATAATGAAAGTAGGAAAAGTTCCGCTAAGCTGTCCTATTCTGAATTTCTCAGTAATAGTAGCTTCCAAGATTATTTTTAGTTATGTACTCAGAATGAGTTGGCTCTGAATAAACAAATTCAAAAGGGACTATTTAAGTTTTCATCTCAGCTTTATAATTCTATGAAAATCCTTTTCTTGTGAGACACCAAAACACTGTGAGAGGAGCATTTAAACTCAGATTTAAAACAAACATCTCTTACCTTGTTTCATACTGTATCTAGACTCAGAAGAATTGAGAATAGAATGGCCTCTGTAACTGAAGTTCTCTTTAATCGTCAGCCTGACAAAATGCATGGTTTTAGTTTTTCTGCACAGACATTGCAACATTTATAAATAAGTGTTTTATTTTCTGAATGGTATAGCTGATCTTTTAAAATTTGCAAAAATAAGAAAAAAGCTTTACATACTATTCATATGTCTTCAAAAGTAGCTATTTATATGTGATCCTAAATGTTATTTTGAATTTGCTTGACAAAATGCTCACTGTCGTCATAATTTTATGGATTTTATCCTTGTTTGCCAGTATTAAGTCCTGTATTCCTTCATGTATTCACATTAACTGTAGTGGAATGGAATGTGATACATAAGCGTAGATGGATAGTACTAACAAAGGTCATATGTTAAAACCAACTTTACAAGTTTTGCCTCTGAGTAATACAGTCTAAACTTTTCCGTAAAGAAAAGGAAAAATATAAGGAGTGAATTTTGTTATGTGCTGCTTCTGTGCTTACAGAAGGAATAGGAAGTAATTATGGAACTGAGCCAAATAACTGGCCAGCTTGGAAGTTGTGTATTTCATATATTAGGGGAAAAATATTGTGGTGTTATCCAAAGATGTTTTTACATAGTTACAGTAATTAATGTTAAATGTAAAGGTAAATTTTGTTTCCCCAACTAGTGTTCACCAGGTCTTTTTTTTTTTCCCCCCCATGTTCCTTACTCATTGATTCGTTTCAGTATGAGGAGTATCATGTAAGTTGTGAGACATGAAATTGTGTAATAGCTCTAATACCTTTAAAATACGCAGTATGCATCAATATGATGGTTGTTACTTTTACCTGGCATGCTCACTTGTCTCTCTGTTTTGTATCGTTTGCTTCATGAGGCTACTGTAATTAAAGTATTAAATGGAACCCCTTTTTTCTGCACTTTTTCTTGCTCAGAAAAAGACATCTAATCTTTCTGATACTGTCTGTTCTGGCAGTGGAATTAGTTACATAGATGTGTGTTCTTGTGATTTCATCCTGTGGTTACCTTTGAATTTCTAAAACCCTGTTTGTGTTTAAAAACCAAAAAAATCCCCACACATGGAGAGGATTTTGCTTTTCTTTTTATGAAAGAGGGTGGATAACAGACACCAGTTTGTTTACCCCTCTCTGTGTATACTACATTCTGACACTTGTCAATCTTGTCTATTATTTCATTGTGTTAAAACTAAGAAGTGTAAAAGTGTTAGTTTAGCATTATCCTTTTCTATCAGAGTCTTTTGCATAATTCAGATGGCAGTGAAATGTTAACTGTAATACAGTCTCTTGAAAAATAGGGTAAATACTTCTGGTTTCTGTAGGCTTTTTTGTTTGTTTTGTTGTTGGGCTTTTTTGTTTGCTTTTCATTCAAGGAAAAGAAAAAGTCTGTAAAGAGTTTTGAAACCTACAAAATCCTCAATTTCTTTATCCTTACTAGTAGAACAATAAGCTTGCTACTAGGAAGATTGGTATTGGTGCCTTTGAAGCCCTTCCTTACTGTGACATAAGGTTTAATTAATGTGTTTGTTTTTATTGTCTCCGCTCACGGAGTTGGGCTACATTGCACTTAACGTTGTGTTATGTCTGTAGTTCTGAGTTTTAAATAAGTGGACTATTTTATGTTTCTAAAGTTAACTATATTAATATTGCTAATTAATTTTTAGCTATCATCTTGAAATACTAAAGCTGTGTCTTCTATCTTATTTTTTTTTTTTTTTTTTTTAAGCGGGCCCAAGCTGTTCTTCAGGCAGTGACGGCTGTGCAGGCAACAAATGCTCCCATTAGCGGGACCACTGTTAGTGAGAGTGCAGTGACTCCAGCTCAGAGTCCAGTACTTAGAATAATTATTGACAATATGTACTATCCGGTAACCCTGGATGTTCTTCATCAGGTAAGTCAAATTTCATGTTAACTTGAGCTATGATTGGGAGGAGCTTGTGTGTAAATCTTTACAATGTTTTTGGCAGATATTCTCTAAATTTGGTGCTGTATTGAAGATAATCACATTCACAAAGAATAATCAGTTTCAAGCTTTACTGCAGTATGGCGATCCAGTAAATGCACAGCAAGCAAAACTAGTAAGTGCAGTTCTTTTTTTAAGGCTTTAGACCTTCCTGTACTCTCATTTGTAAAATGTTTATATAACAGAGTACTAGTACTGACCATAGTAATGTGTCATAGTCCTCCACCATTTGTGTGAATTGCTTGAGATAAAAAAACCCTAGGAGTTATTATATAATATGTTGTTAAACTGCATAAATCAGTGTTTAAAGAGACTATGTTTAAGAATACTATGTCTAAAGAATTGTATATATCTATTATTATGAACAAATATTTTAATAAGGCTGCACAGAGATGAAATAATATGCAAGTCTGCAAAGTGAAAATGTCAACCAGAAGTAAAAATGTAGGATGTAATGTTGATGTATAATTAATTCACCGTAAGCAGCAAATTTGGTAAGGCCATTGGATTATTGTTGGTAGAAACTTTCTAAGCATCAAAACAAAGATGTGATTTGTGGATTGGACATAGGTTTATGAAAGTATTTAATTATACTATCCTAAAAAAAAATTTCTAGACTTCATAATAACCATAAATGCCCAGAAGATAGAGTGCAATCTTGTTTATGGGACCAGACTATGAAGAAGCTTTGTAGCAGTGACAGATAAGAGCAGTATCTTACTTTTTGTTTTATTGGAAAATGTCCTATCCTGGGTAGGTGAAACAAGAACAGGTAACTGGTTTTATTCATTATAGCAGGAGAGAGCCTATGGATTAATGATGACAAAGATTAACACCGTGTCATCTAGACCAGATGTTTTTAATGAATTGAATGGGGTATGTCCACATCTGTGGCAATAGGGAAGTTGAACAAAAGGGGAAGGCTAAATTTTTTAGTTATTTTTTTCAAGAGGATTTTTCAAATGGAATGAATTTATATTTTCAAACCTTCACACGCAGTCTGGGTTTCTTGAAAGCTGATTAAAATTGATGTTCTGGTTAAGTGTTGTTTGGCAGCATAGAAAGTGCTTATTGCCCATAGATGATGGAATAGCTGAGAACTTCAGGAAAAAGTGAAAAGCTCACACCTCAGACTAAGTTGGCAATGAATATCTCTTAGTAGAGGAAGGAAAAAATAGGCTTAGTTTTCTGTTGTAAAGAATGATGACTATATTGAAATAAAGACCTTCATTAAATAGTGGAGGATGGTCATTTTTATCCTCATCACCAATTTAAATGCTGGGTGTTGATTAAAAAAAATCATGGGTAGTCGAGACAGGGAGTCACAAAAAAGAGACATGTTTTCAAAAAGCAGAGTGTAAGTTTTCATACTATTGAGAAAAAAATTAAGTTAACCAGAGAAAAGAAGGTTTGCAACTTGATTTATGATGATCTACTTTAAGATAATCCTGAAAAGCAGTCTGGAAATATTTGTACATTTGGAGTACCGTTTCAATTAAGGATATTATTTTCAGAGATGAATAGTACCAAATATTAGATCACATCTCAAGAGTAAAAGGAGATGCAAATATGTCACTGTAATATGTAAAAATTTGCTTGGATGTGACACACCTTTCAGGTCTTAAGTAGACTTAAATTAGTAATACAGAAACTAGATCTTTAATCTACAGCTGCTGCAGAAATTGACTGTAATCATTTAGATTCATATTTGAAGTATTTGATAAACAGTTGGATGCTAATGTTTTTGTTTCAGAATGTTGTCATTCAGTCTTGATTTGTGTTTGGAAAGTTATTTTTCAGTAATAGATGTTAATGCTGCTTTCAAAGTGCATTTTTGAAGCAAAATATGACATCAAGTGTTAAATCTTTTGACTTTGTTTTTTGAGTCTTATGTATATTATCAGAAGATTTAACGGAAAGATGACATCTATGAAATGGACTGTAGTGATTTGAAAATTATCAGTGTAATTCTAGGAATATATTACAAAATAGTGACAAAATAACAAAAGGATGAGGTATGTAAAAGTATGAAAGGAACCTAAGACACTCTTGCTGTTGTTGACTTCTGACAAACTGACACTAGCTTCTGGGACACTGGTCATAATTTTAAAAAAGAAAAAAAGCATGTATTTGTTTCTCCAGTTGCATGTTTTGATGAGGGTAGCTGTTCACTAGTGGTAGCTCATGTGTGCATGACTAAACTTAATTGAATAACAGTGACTCCTGCATGTACAGTTATTGTCAGATCTAGGAGCCTATCTTAGTGACAAACTGAAATAGTTTTAGGTTTATAGGTTCATATTTTAACGAATCTGTACATAACTAGAGAAAATGCAAAGAGTAATAACAACTGCAAGTATTGAAGAATGCGAAATTTGAAGGAAGGTCTGATTTCCCCACTACCCTCCCAAGCTAAATAGCGTAAGTACTGTTCTTATCATTGAGCTACCATGGTAAAACATGAAATACCACCAAAACAAAAGCACCTGAAGGAAAGAAAGAGTCAGATGATAGGAAGAAACCCTCTAGTTCAAATACATCTGGAAATAGAGTAGAAGCAAGAGGATGTGATGACTACGCTGAAGTTGCATGGAGTTCAAAATTAAAAGCATGGTAAAAGAATAAAGAAGTTTTCAATATGTTTTCTATCAGTTGTTAACTATAGAAGATAATGGGAAAATGTAGTTTTCCACTGGCACTCTTCACAGGAAATCAGAATGTGGCCTTAATAGATATTGAAGACTCATTAAGGAAGTTAAAGAGCGATTTGAAAAACTGAAGTGATGTAAGTACCAAGGAGAGATTCTGTTGATTTGAAGGTTCTGAGAAAATAGTGACACTGACAAGAATGTACAATACGAAGCCTCTAGCCCTATGGGACCACTTCTGCTATTCGAATGAGCAAGTAGTGAAAAATTGCATTCCTGTTCCACTTGCTCTGTGAGAAACTCATTTCCTGTAAAAGTAGATTATGGCTACCCTGATTCATGTTTCATCACCACCCTCAGACTGGATCATTATAATTTGTTATAGCAGCAAATATTGTTACAGTAAAGGTGAAGACAACAAACTTCAGGTTCTGTGCAGTGCAGCAGTCTAGCCATGGGTTGGAGAAAGTACTGAGAATGCAACAGTAGAGCACATTGAACTGTCCTTCTAATGAGACAGAAGGTGCTGTCCTGGAGGTGGCTGTATGCATAAGGAGATATTCTGCACATCAAAAATAGCTCATTCTCACAGTAAATGATCAGTACCCTCATCATAAGCCACAAACTTAATATTTGAATACTAGTTATCTGGTCTACCATAGAAAGATTAGAGTGCCAGTGTTTCTGTCTGAACAGCTGGCTAATCTCAAGTGTTGCCTTTGTGTAAATATACCAAAAGTACTCCTGCCAAATCTTGGATATTGACAGTTACTTGTGCCTCATCTACGGAGCATTAACTGAGACTCATACCTAGTGCATGACAGTCATCTTGACCCAACATGGGTTAAAAATATTACAAGTCTAATTGAGAATTTCTGTTAATAATTGGCCAGTTGGTCCTTACTTAGCCTGTAGGTGATTCAGAGTACCTCTGCAGAGATTCTGTTGAGGTTTGTATCTACATTCAAGATATCTTCTTTCCACTTGTTTTGAGTGATGGCTTCAGGGTGATGCTGCACTAGTAGAAATCTGCAGAAGATTGCTGCTGGCTACATTGCCCTAAAATCTGTAATAGCAACTTGAGGTACTTGTTGCCAGAATGGAAAACAGGGAGATCTCCAGATACGGTATTTAGCTTCAGGGCAATTACCCATGACTATTGCATTAAGGATTTTCAGGCATCTGGAATCCTAAAGACCATAGTTTGTGCTTGGAAATGATAAGTAGTGTTCAGGTAAACAGAAGAATGCTGGGTTGTGTATTGTCCATTGTATTGGAAAGCCCAGGAAGTGCAGCAACAGTGTTTGTGTCCTGGATTTTCTGATTTTGTAGAAAAGAATAAGATACGCAACTGCTCCTTCAGTCAAGGAACTGCACATAAAAAAAAGTAAATATCTTCATTTTGGTGAATGGAATGTGTTTTACATACACTTTTTAGCCGTAGAAACTTCTTGTATCCAAGACACTTGTCTCAAAAGAGATCAGTTTCATTCAAGTGCATGGCTGTGGAATGCACTTTGGACACATCTTTCCTGAGAGGTACTTACCGTATGACCGTCAGTTACTTTGAGGTGCTTATTTGAGCTGGAGTATGTTTTGTAAGGATTACTTCTTTTTTTAATACCTTAAACTGTTATGCCCTTCTAAAGATCTTGTTTCTAGTTTCTCCTGCTTTGTGTGCTTTGGGGAGAGAGAGTAGAGACTAAATTTCTTTCTCTTTTTTTTTTTTTTTCTTTTTTTCCTCCTTACGAGAAGGCAGTGGTTTTGTTGTGTTGTGCCTCTCTGCCACTTTTTCTCTCCACTAATTGGATTTTTCTTTATTGGACCTCGATAAATGCTTTCAAGCTGTCCTCATCCTGCAGGAGATCTATTTCCTGCCTTGGATCATCATCTTAGGTACCTACAGTGTTTGACAAAGAGCAGGGCAGATACACTATTTGTTGTGGCTTGAAGCCAGGTATCTCCAGAAGTATCTGCTAACTAAATCTCTGGGCTGACAAATGAGAATATCAAAGGGTCAAATAATTTTCTGTATCCCAAAACATTTTCTTGTCTGTCTTCTAGGTACTGTATGTGAATTAGCTGAATAATATTGTAAGTGGCATATCTCTTCCTGAGTTTTAGAGGGCTACCTTGACCATCTCCTGTAAGGGGGTTTCCACAGATTCATGGTCTGTACAGGCCTCAGGAGAAGCTCATCAAAGCATAATTCTTGTGAATATAGCATTTTTCAAGGGACTCCTTTTTCACAAGGCTTTTCAGGCATCTTGAACTCTGAAAGTAAAAAGAAGAGCAGTGAATTCTATCCATTACATCAGAAAGCCCTTCATTCAGGTGAGGAAAGCCTGAGAGAAGAAATGATTGTGGGAATGTTGTTATTCTCCTTTGGAACCTGCCGATAGGTCTGACTTGTCTCTGCATGAAGCTGCATCAGAGAGCTGCATCAGTCATTCATGGTATTTCAACATTCTGTAACTTTGTGGAGTACTTTTGCCATCTGAGATCAAGTTGCTGCTGTTACCACTTCCCTCAATGTCCACAATCACATTGGGAAGTGAGAGATCCTGGTGGCATAAGTCCATGTTGACTACCTAGAAATTCTTACTGTCCTTGTGCAGAAAAGCTTGTGTGTTGTTGATTACATCAGCAGCAGGAGAAAGTACTGTTTCTTGAACTTTTTTTTTAATTTTTTTTTTTCCATTGGAATAGTCTCTTGTCTCACCTCTTAATCTGTGGGATCTTTTCTCAGTCAGCAGTTTTCACCTCTTCATCCTCCTGACTGCTATGAGCAAAAGGAGAGGGTGGTTTGACATTATTTTTAAGAAATGGGAGAGTATTTTGTTTTGTGGTGCAGACTTCCATTTCATTGAGATTCTCTGTGTGGTCATTTTTACTGATTGTGACGGTCATAGCTCTCTGTTCCAGATCCTTAGGACTTCCCAGGCTATTTCTATTTTCTGTGGTGTTAGTCCTTTCCTTCTTATTCTTGCCTTCAGTGAAAGATGCTGCCTTGAGACACAAACAGATTTTGTATTCTTCGTGAATATAACCCCAGTTGTTAAGACCCTTTCGAAATATTTTACATGTTTCTACTGTAGTAGTTGTCTAGGAATACAAGTTTCTTTCCATCCAACTTCACTATTTTGGAGCTTTCCCTAGTACTGGGGATTGTAATTTTCTTTATTTCTAGTTTAGTCCCTTTCTTAACTGCCACAGCTGATGTAGAACCATGCAGCATACTGTGTGATTAAGAGTCCTCTTTGTTTCATGCGGGGGCTTTTTTGGTTTGAGGTATTTTTTTTAGTGATGGCTTTCCCCTCCCCCCCCCCCCCCCCCCACCCCCAAACCAATTTAAGTGGCTGTAGAGAAACCTGTACGGATAATATTGTGTTTGCACTGTGGTGTTGAGGTCATGCACAGTTCACTGGAGATGAGGTCATTATGTCAGTTCAGGCATGTGCACCGCCTCCTGCGGTTATGTGTCAGTCTGAACCAAGAAAGGGATTTTTGTTTGTGCTTTTACCACTGTTATCTATCGGTCTTCTGCATGTTCTTACTAGCTGTCTTGTTTGTGTGCTCCTAAATACCACAGTGTGTTTTTTCAGGCATCTGTATGCTGATGAGCTCTTGACAGAAGGTGAGCCACTTATCAGAACCATTTTGCCCCTTGGGAAAGTCCAAGAGGAGGAGGGTACGTCAGTAACAAGGGGAAGGGAGGGAAGGCAGGGGCCTGGAAACAATTCAGTGTCATTACACTTTTAATATTACGTAATGACCTAAGTTTTGCTACATCTGTTGTTGAGACTTAAGTAATGGGCTTACTGTCACAGGCAAGGTAAAGAATGATACTCACATTTTGTAGAAGGGACCCATGATACTTGATCTCATTGGTTTGGCATATGTGTGGTGTAGTATTGTCACATGTGTATGCATGTACACATGAATGCTCAAAGCAAGAGAAGTTTCTTAGCATTAGCTAGAGTTTGAGAGGATGTCTGTGTGTACATTCACTAATAGTGTGGCTACTGTCTTCTCATTTTTTTCATGATGTTTGTTTGAGAGGAACAGGGTTTGATGGATTGTTGCACGTTCTTTTATCGCTGTATAAGGAGGAGCTCAGGACACACACATTCACAGTTGTGACTTTACATGTGAAAAGTTAACCTTAAAAAAATCCTAGTTGGTAATCTTTCTTGCATTGTTGTTAAAGGTGCGTGATTATGCTGGTAGAGGTGGGTGGGGTGAGGCTTTTTCTGGTTTTGATCTGTAGCAAGGAGCTTTTCCCAGAGTGTGACTGCAGTGCTCATTAAGAGTGCATCTTCTTCCTTTCCGGTTCAGGATGTTCTTTCAGACTGCGTCTCAACTACAAGGGATTTCTCTTGTGCAGTTTTCTTTTGTATGTACTTCTGGTCACTTTGAATTTGTCAGAAAGAGGAGTTTTTGTGTTTCAGTGTTTTTAGTTACTAGTGCGGCTCCCTTAAAACATTGACTACTATGGAAACTACAGACACAGGTGTATTTTGGTTCGCTACTTTTTCAGACTAAAAGATTTTCATTAACTTAACAGCCTTCTGCCAGCCATAAATCAGTGTGTCTACAGATTCCTTAGAGGTACAATATGAATCTTGATTGTGTTTAGAGACTTAAAGCTTTGTGTCATGGTTCCGTGACTTGAACACAGCTAAAGGATACTGCTTTTTCGTCTCATTCATACCCGGTTTTCTTCATTATGGGAGTGGGTATTTCCTTGATGGCAGTGACATTGTCTTTGACAGCAAGTAAGCTCTGTCTGTGTAAACTGGACCTACCTTTAATCCATATCTTAGTGAGTTTTAGAAGGTAAGAAGTCTTCTAAAAGTGATGACTGATTCCTAGTGTATACTTTTTAACATGCAAGTGTTCAAGTGAGATTCTTTTCCCAAATACCAGCACTAGGAGTCTTGGATTTTGCTTTGCCACTCTGTATAAAAGAGCTAGCAAATTCTGTATTTGGTAATGGTGATGCCCACCACCACCTCAACAGTAAAGAATTAATCCTCAGCCTGAATTCTGTGAATCAGGACAGTAGGTTTTGCTTTGTCAATATTGTAGAAAACATTGTTTAAGCTGAATTTCAAGCATAGGAATTTCTCTTTAATTGCTGAATATGTCTAGACAATGCCTAGATGGTCAGGTTTCTATACTTCTTTTAAAAATTATTTTTCCATTACACTGAAGTTCTAATAATACTGACTGACTTATTCTTGTACATTGACTGGTAATGGTGGTAATTCTTTCAAGTGATGTCATGAGCCCTGGAGATGTCAGCTGTGATAATACATTTTGTAAGAAGGGACTAGCCCAAACCTAACAGAGGGTTGTCTGCAGGATGTTCAGTTTCCAGGTGCATCACTGTATGAAAATAGCTATGTTTCTTCCATACCCAGCAGGCACACACACTAGGTTTGTGCAGTGCTTGGCTCAAAATAGTAAGTCTTGCCAGAACTTGAGTTTGTTGGAAAGTGTATTGCAGATGTAACCGATCAAGCCGTGCAAGAGCTAGCTCAGGTCCAGAAGCGGTATATTTCACTGCAGCATTAATCAAGAGAAACAAAAGGTCTGTGTTTTGTATTTGAAAGTGTGATTTGTTTGTTTTTTCCACCATGTGTATGTATAAGGTAGCTTTATATTTAACATAATGACTTGATTGAATGGATTAACTTTTATGATAAGCTGTGTCTTCACTTCCTAGTATTTCTTAATAGTATAAACCAACTTAGTTACAAAAGTTTCCATTTTCTTTTAATCTCTCATATTTAGCTGTTAGTGCTTCAAGTTAAAGGAAGCTATGCCAAAAATGTAAATGGAATAAAATCCAAGTATATCAATTTACCCGGTATATAATGAAGATGGACAAAACATATATAATTAGGCCTTTTTAGAGAGTGTTTTCATGGAGTTCTAAGTGGTGTCATGTTAAGAGTTCATGTGAATTTCACTGTTAATAAGCATCCTTTCAGAAGTACCAATTAATTGTGAAAATGGGAATTTTTTTTTTTTTTTTTAAAAAAGTGCTAGTAACATTTGGTTAGCAGATAAAGTTGCTTTACTTTCAATTTTGGCACTAATTACCTTTAAGGGGAAAAGGAAAACATGCAGGAACAATGTAAATAGTCTGCTTTACCAGACAGATAGCTGTCTAATATGGTATTTAAGTCTAGGCTTTTTTTTTTTTTAACTTCCTCAAGTCAGCTTTCTGTGTAGAAGAGTACTTGTGTAATTTTGTTTTTTTTTTTTCTCTTTGAGAAGTTTATTTGGCATTATGCCTGAATTAAATCTGTACTATGGAATAAAGGTGAATTAACTATATTCAACAGACTAACTTTTAAATTTGATTGTATTAAAATGTCTCTTGCCACTTTGGTGCATAAAGTTTCTAGGTAAGAGAAGTAAACATCAAGCTTCCTGGAATCATGTTAAGAGCGGCTAATGCATTTTAATCTTAATTGGTTTTAAGATAGACAGTAAGAAGGATAAATATCTGTACACTGGTGTTTTTTTTTTTTAAAAAAAAAACAACTTTGCAACCAACATGTATTATGCATTTTTTCAATAAATTAACTCCCTTTTCCAGGCCTTAGATGGTCAAAATATTTATAATGCTTGCTGTACTCTACGGATTGATTTTTCCAAATTGGTGAATTTGAATGTCAAGTACAACAACGATAAAAGCAGGGACTACACTCGTCCTGATCTTCCATCTGGTGATGGACAGCCAGCACTGGACCCAGCTATTGCTGCAGCATTTGCAAAGGAGACCTCTCTTCTAGGTATGATTCTGGCATTATTCTTTTGTATTGCAAAGTCACTTTTGATGAAAATGTTTATTAATCCTTCTAACAATTACAGATCTTAAATTACAAGAATCCAAAAGCCCATTCAAGGTTGAGTCTACATTGTGATCTGAATTGTGTTAACAATTATATTGTCTTTAGAAGTCCTGCATAAATGAATGAGAGAGGGCATGACAAAATGAGAGATGCACAAAGTATGAGGAAAAGTCAAGTTAGTCCCATTGTTATTCCCAAATCTGTCCACACCTTTCATATGTTCCTGTCAGCTACTGCTGCTCACCTTTCCCATCCTCCCACCCAAGTTTTCAAGAGAGACTTAACATGATTTGCATGTTTCATTCATGGTAATGCTTATTTGTAATACCAGATTATGAAAATAACATTTTGTTGGCTTCCTTCAATGAGGAAAGATTATGCTCTTTGCTCAAAACAAAACAAAACAAAACAAACAAACAAAACAAACAAAACAACAAAAAACAAACAAAACAAAACAAAAAAAAACAAAAACAAAAAAACCCAAACAAACAAAAAAACCAAACAAACAAAAAAAATGGTGCTAGTCTGATTTCTGTAAATAAAAGGAAAAAAGATCTGTAGTTGCACTTCTAGTGCTGTGGGTACATAAGTTCTGTTGTTCTGTCAGCATTTGAGTTCATCCAAAGAAGTAGGTAAAATGCTCTGAGAAAGATACAGGTAAATATATCTTCTGATTATTAGAAAAGTATTTAATGCATGCTTTGGGAGAAATTTGTAAGTTGGTGGGCTTTGTTAATTTATCACAATTCATTACATAAATTTCACTTCTGTCAAGTTGCTGTTCTTTGAGAACACCTTTTACTCTTCAGAATTTAATAGTAGGCATAATATCATTATTTATAAAACCTGATTTATTATGTTGTGATCACTGTTCTTCCCACTTAGTCTCTTTTCTTTGTTCTTTTTTTTTTTTTTTTTTCATCATTTCCCATTTTCTTCAAAAGAAAACAACAACATAGATTTCATGCCTTGTTTTTTGTATGGAATGGGACAACTTGGAGTAAACTTGAGTTAATGCAGTAAAAAGGGGCCTCTGCTCTCTGTGTGTTACAGAAGTTAGAAAGCACTTGGTGAAAAATGTGAGCCCAGGAAAAGGGTGGATATTGTAGTTAAGTCTACTGAATGTTGCGCTATATCTGCCTACTTCCAAAATCAGATTACTTGAAGGATACATTTCATATCTAGTTGTAAATTTCACATATATCCACCTCCCACAAATTTTGGAGTGCTTGACTTCAGATCCTCCAGTATGACTTGCAGAATGGTGTATCACTTGTAGCTACAGCAAAAGATGTGGGAAAGTGAAAAATACCATAAGAATCTAAACTCTCTGAAGAACCTTTAGCTAAAGTTTATTTTATTTTTTAACTCTTTTAACTTCCCACTGTTCAAAAATTTCATGGCTTGATAGGGAATATGGATGACTGTTTGTGAAGAAGTTTGACACCGTAGAGATGAATGCTGTAGAAACACCCTTAAGACTGTTAAGAACTCTTTTGTCAGCACATAATGACCTAGTACTTGGACATGGTGCTGCAGTATGAGTAGTAAGGAGACAAAAGCAAAGTAAAGCAGCTGCTTATTAATATGAGACCCATCATATTAGGTGTTGTAAGACAGAGATTTAGGAGAGGAAAGAGATAAAGATTCATGCTTTATAAAACAGTGCCAAATGCAGCATTACTTACGTAACTCTTTTTGATATTTTCCTGAATCCTGAGAAGTTGCTTTCCAGTCTCAGGCTTACTAATGTATTTTTTTTTTTTAATATAATGCTTATAGTATGCATCAAATTAACAGGTTTAATTTGCTTGGAATAGTGGAATCACACTCTGAGGGTGCTTGAATCATTACATCACTCTGCGTATGTTTAATAATTGGGGTCACTATACTTGTTAGAGTTATCCAAGTGACCAGCTTTAGCAGACTTTATGTTCTAGTGTTTTAGGCTTGAAAGTCACTTAGATGCTTTTGTCATTTTTGTCTACAAAACTATGTAAGTTTTCTAACCTTTTGATTTTCATCAGTCTCATTATTTTGTGTATATTAAATTTTTTTTTCTAGTAAAATTAGGAAGATGGCAGTCATATTAGTTAATTAAATATTTTAATTCTCACTCTTTGGATGGACCTCTTTAAATGCACTGTTTTTCCAAGGAGCAGGAAAATAAAAGGTACACAGCATGAGTAACTCTCATTGCAGCTGTGAAATATTTTCAAAGCACCAGTGAAGTCAGTCATGTTTATTTTGATGAGCAGTGGAGATTATATATCCTGGTTGGGTTTTTATCTGTAAAAGCATTCATTGTTTTGAAAGAGGCTTAAGGGAGCTTGGTGTATTTTCTAACTGCTCATGACTAGTTGGGTGAGCTTGGTATATTGTAACTCTGCATCATCTGTCAAGTGGGGATGATGATACAGTGATTTTTTTTGTTGTTGTTGTTTGGGTTTGGTTTGGTTTTTTTTTTTTTTTCTTTTTTTTTTTTTCCTAGTTGTCTTTGTTTCTTTTTAAAGAATTTGAGCTCTACAGATGAAAAACTTTACCGAAAGGGTCCGTAGTGCTGTTGGTGCTTTAGCCGTTTGGATAGTTGTCAAAATGGGCATAGTGCTTGTCTGAATAGGGAAGAGCAGGGTTCTCATTCTGGACTGCTTACTGTGCAGAAAGGCACAAAATATAAATGGCATAAATAAGAAAGGACAATGCATGCAATTTATAGCTGCATTTTTATTCAGATACTCAAAAGGAGAAGGGTAACAACACTTAAAAGTTCAGAGTTATAAGATGGAGGTTGGCAAACTGTGATGTGTGAAATAGAGCAGAATGATAACAGCAACCTTCCTCCTGTTTATTTCTTTTATTTGCTTTAGAATTCTTATTTCTGTAATGTCAATAAAGATACCTTCAGAATGTAATCGGTCAGTGTCTGCCATGCCCTATTCACAGATGTTTCCCAAATGGTATGTTTCTCCTTGAAAGAGCGAAGCTTCATTTTGAGCTTAATATGATGCTCTTTGGGTCTTTCTGTGTGCTCAGAAAGAATACCTTAAAAGTTGAACCTATGTCATTCTTGTTAAAATTCTTACTGTAGCTGTTCTCTTATATGTATATAATGAGATCACTAAGAGAAAATGTGGTAAGGACTCAGTTCTGACTTTTGCTTGTGTTATGCTGTTATATGCTGGGTAGTTGTACAACTTGGGTGCCTCCTTATTGGCTTTTAAACAGTATACTGTAATTTGTATGTCAGAAATGAGGTTAAGGTTTAAGGTAATTTTGTGAGTTGAGTTTCAGTGGCAAGATGTGAGTCTTGTTAGTGTTTAAATCTGCATTAGTAATAAACCACTACATATCTCAATTTCATTCTAGGTGAAATTAACCCTCCTCTTCAGTAAATGTAACTTTATGATGTAGTGTAGTAACAGTTGCGACTTCATCAGTTATGCAGAGATTTTAAAAGAATGTGCTATCTCCCCCAGAGCCATTCAGGCTAAGTATAAGCAGCAGACCAGTAACAAGTAAAAGGTGATGATTACTTCATGTAAAGCCACAGAAAAGGTTCATAAAAGGACTAGGGACTAAATCCAGTTCTCACAGTTATGCATACCTGCATTAAGATAACTGCTCCTGCTGCCTATGGTTTTCACACATAAGTTCATCATATATTTTTAGTATAGCTTTAATTTGCCTCTTTTAAAATGGCATTACTAATTTGCATTTCAGAAGTCATGCAAAAAGATACACTGGGGGGAATAAATAATCTGGCATGCTGTGTTTAAACTTCATTGAGGAAAAAGACATCAAAAGGCTAGGAAAAAGGTGTATAATGTTTGTATGCTTTCATTATTATCCGGAAAAAGCAAAACCATGTTTTCTGTAATCATTGGAAGCTAAAATAAAGCTAGTGACAACCAGTTGATCATGTAGATAAAGTCCTTACATTTCTAAATATTTTCAGGTAAGTCCTCAAATCTTAAACAGTGTGTTGCATGATAACTAATAATACAAGTTGTTATTATTTTTATTTATTAAAAATTTTTAACTTACTTAAACCAGAACGGCAAATGAGAGTGCACTGGAGACCTACAGAACAAAGAACTGTGTTTTCTGTGGGCTTGTGATTTGTGTGACCTTTCCAAGAAATGAGGTCTATGTGTGCTGTGTAATCAGTTAAAAACATACCAGTCAAATAGATGATCCCAACCCACATGCATCATTACTTATTTGTCTACTACATCCTCAGCTGTGATGAAATAAGGTGTCAGAAGTCTCTGAGACTGTAAATTGGACATCTTTTCAATGAGTCTTGTTATCTTTTGAAAGAAGGAGAAAATCACTAATGGACAGAATGGGCTGGTCTCAAATATCAGAAGCAGATGGTTGATTTAAAAAAAAAAAAAATTTTTTTTCACTTCACATAGTAAAAGATATCCTCATTCTCTCCCCTCCCCACCTCAAAAAAGTTAAAGGAAATTTTACAGGAAAAAAAGCTTTGCATAAGCAGCAACTGTATTATACTGAACCGCAACAAACAAAAGATCTTAAATAAAAACTACTTACAGTTGCAAATCCTCATATGTAATAGTACTTTAAGTCCAATTTAGGTATTTGTTTAATATTACAGCTGGAAATACGTTGTTTTGGTTAGGGCTCCCACAGCTTTATCCCTTGCTGTCATTGCTGGCTTTCTTTATTAGTACTTCCAATGCCCCATCTTAAGATTCTTATTAATCTATTTCAAAGGATAATAATTGAATTTATTTTTGCATGAATGTTGTTGAATTAAACTTTGTTTTTAACTTCTTCAGTGGGACCAAAGAATGTCCTATAGAGAGTCTGATGTTATGAAGAATTTTGCCTTTTAAAAGTATGAATTACTCAGCTATGCTCTGCCAAACTACAGAAAGAGCCGTAAGAACTTACCTAGTCATCTTTGAGCTTCCTTTATTCCTAAATATACTGGACTGGCTTAAAGCTTCTGAGGTTAGGGAGAAATGCCTAGATACACTAGAAGATTTGAAATGCTCTAGTATCTTGGCATTTTCTAATATCTAAATGATTGCTAGTGACATAGTATAAAAACAGTTGTTTACTTCAGGTGGACATCTGTCACACCTTACTGTCATTCTTCACATTTCTGTCTATATGACCTCTACAGTAGCTGAGTGTAAATAAATGTGACATTCAGCATATGCATTGCAAAGCCCTCAAAAACACATTTTGATAACCATTCTTTAGAACAGAACTGGATGTTTTAAAGTTGTTTGAGGAGTTGAGTTTGATATTCACAGGTTTCCCTGTGTATTATAGTCTGATTCTGGGAATAACATTTTTCTTCCACAGAGCTACTTTCTTTAACTGCTTCCTTTACTAATTGTTTTTTCTTGAAAGTCTGGAGGCAGTGCATTCCAAACTCCCAGGTAGCTAGTGCTTGGCTTACATGATGAAGCATATTATATGTCACTTTATTGCCTGTTTAATGTAACTAGCTGCTGTGCCTATAGACCATCTAACACAGTCTCAAATCTATTAGACAAGATAGATTTTTTTTTTTTTCTTCTTTTTATGTAATACAGTCAGTCCCGCAAATACCACATATAATGCAATAAAAGGTTGTATTTGCTGCCTTTTGATTCAAGTAGATTTTCCCTTTATCTTGTGGCATGAGAGATGACTGGAATTGTTGTTACTCAGAACTTTCTACTCCTCTGGTTTGACCTCTCAATACTTACATTTTTAATCTTTTCAACTTTATTGGAAAGCATTCTATATCTTTAATTTTCCTTTCTTGGAGCACTTACTGTTTTTTCTTCCGTATGTGCTTTGACAGGAAATGACCAGAAAATATTTTTCAGTGCTTGATCAGTAATACTGTTAAGCACTTTCACAAAGTAATGATTAATGCCCTGTTCCCTTTGAGAGGTCATTTGTCCAGTCCAACAAAATTTCTCTCTTTTTTTTCAGTTGTTTTTCACAAAGTCATCTTGGAATGAAGATAGAAGTCTTTTCTAGGAAATTAATAAGTCTTGGGTACATAGTGTAACGGTTATGTTTAAACTGTCTGCCTGGCATACTGGAAGATTGGTTGTGTTGTGTTAGTTTAGCATGGTCATATTAACATTAGAAATTTTGCCAAAATACTGAAATCTGTGAACCCAGTTGCAGTAGAGGATAAGATACTGAAGTTCTGTTTCTTTCTTTTTTACAAGTTTTGCTACATTAGTGTCCTTTTACTGAACTCTGTGAATGTACAAATAAAATTTTGATCAAGTATGATAAACTGTTCCTGTATAAACTACGTATAGTGTATATGTATCACATGAACCTTTCACAGATCCTGGGAATACCACAGTCGCCTAGTAACTCCGTGACTTGACCAGGCAAAACCAGCAGGTCTCTACAGGATCTGAGTTTTCTTGGAGGAAGAAAAATAAAAGCACAAGTGAAGGTTTAGCCAACGGTAACATGCTGCTTCAGGGAATTTGATGACAGAAGCCACAGAGCATAATTGGTGGTGCTACCTTGAATCTTGAATTGAGAAAGTTGCCTCCTCACTTCATTTAAGCTAAGACTCTTAGAGATAGATAGGCCTTTTCACATGACCAACTCAGTGTTGTGTATTTAGTCTGAAGCATCAAGTTGAAGTAAGGAGAGCCTCTCAAAGGGTAATGGAAAATCAGGATGTAATGATGCACAGAGCACAATTAGTGTTTATTCTTACTGATTTGATCACTATTTACTTTAGGCCATTTTGATAAACCAGACACATAAGCATTTTGGAGTACAGTGGAAACGATTTTGGTGCAAAAGAATGTTTAATTGAAAAGAAAGAACTTTTTACTCCTCATCACTTTGAAGACTTGATCTGAATCAAAAAGGAATTCACATTTCTCTTCCTTATGTTAATTTAACAACCTATTTCACAACCCTTTGGATGACTTGAACAGTGGAAAGGTCTGCTTTGTAGAGTGTTGTATGCAACACTTGTACTGATATAGGTACTTTTTTTTAAATGACTTGTGTGTGTTTCGTAAAATATGCTTTATTTTAAAATTAGGGCTTCCTGTTGCAGCTGTTCCAGGAGCTCTGAGTCCTTTGGCTATTCCAAATGCTGCTGCTGCAGCTGCAGCTGCTGCTGCTGGTCGTGTAGGAATGCCTGGAGTTTCAGCTGGTGGCAATACAGTCCTCCTGGTTAGCAATTTAAATGAAGAGGTCAGTGAAACAGTTTTACTTACTTTTTTTTTTTTCCTTTGGTCCTACTTCATTTGTCAGTATTTTATAATTTCTTTGCATGTGGCCTCTTACATTTGGATTTTACGCTCAAAAGTATTTTTGCTTTTTTTTTTTTAATTATCCCCCCAAGTTAATTTTAAAGCCATTATTCTTGTTTTCTGAGGTAGCTAGCAACTTAAAATACCCTATGATAGACAGCTACCTATTTTTTTTCTAAGAAAAATGTAGTAACTACTGCATGTTTGACATTTGAATTGAAAGCTTTATTTTTACAAAATAGCAACTATGCTTTCTTTTGCAGTTATAATCATGTAAACCAGTGTTCAGTTTTGTTTTTTCTAATTGTTTGCTGTTTCATTTCATGCTTGTATCTCACATTTTAAGGTCTTAATTTATGTGAACTACTCTAACACATTTTTCTTTAAAGGTTCTCCCAAAGATCTTGACGAGGCAGTCTTCCAGTCTCTCTTAGTAATTTTTTTCTTTGCAGTTACTCATTTGTCTTTAAAAAAATAATAATAAAAAAATGGTGGCAACGCATTTTCACCTTAACTGTATCTTTCTTGCTAACTCTGAAATCTAAGGGGATTTATTTAGTTTTGCATTTTTACTGTCCTTTACATTTATTTTGATGGCTGTGAAAGCTGGTATGAAATGTGGGAAGTTTGTATCAGTCTAGCTGTTCCATTTTTAACTGGCCTCTGTCACTGTAAATCATTAAGTTTTTTTTATCATCTGGTACTATTTCGTCATCCACAGTCTTGCATGTTAAAATGTTTTAGATCAGAGTGCCATTTTGAAAGATATTTTGCCTGCATTTCATAACCAGCCATGCTTACGCAGTTAAAGTTCAAAGTTTAAAATTTCTATTGCATGCTTTTTTTAATTTATTTTCATGTTGGGATGAAATGCTGTAGTTTATTCTTGATATGAATGTACTTTACCCATATTTGTCTTGGGTGAGACTACATTTTACTCAGTTTTTCTTGTACAGTACATAAACCAACCATTTTCTGACCAAATTCCTGCATTACCTATGTACTGACCTATATTTTATTTTTTTTTTGTTCCCCACTTCCTTATTTTTTTTCTTCTGCATTGCTGTATTCCCTTCCCCATTTCATCCTTTTCCCTTTGTGTTCAACTTCCCTTTCCTTGTCTTTACCCAAATTCCCGTGCCCTTCCCTGTCTTACCCTTCTCCTCGTCTTTGTCTACGTTCCCTGTCTTCATTCCCTACGTTCATGCTTCTGTGCTTGAACAAAATGTTCCTCGGACCAACTTGCCCCAATTAACCGCCTTGAAACCATGATCCATGACCACCTCACCATTCTGCGGGAACCACCCTTCGTTATGGATGATCTGTTCATCTCCGCTCTTCCTCGACTCTTCTCTCTTCTTGTCTTACGCTGCTTGCTCTTCTCTCCTTCTAAAGATGGTTACGCCCCAAAGTCTGTTTACCCTCTTCGGTATGTTATTGTTAGCACTATACTTTTATTATTGATTTGATTTTGGTTTGATTTTTGGTTTTTGTTTTGGTTTTTTTTTTTTTTTGTTTCACCTTAATTCTTATTTGTAGCTAGCACTTTGGCTTAAAGTTGAATAGTAAATCTTTTGCTATTTTTCTTTTGCTGTTTAAAACTCTCCATAGGCACAGATTTTCTTTTAATGCATGCTAATATATTTTGCATGGTCTTTAATTTAATATCATTCACATAGCTTTGAGGGTTTATCAGAAATTATTCTTTTCAAAATTCACTATTCAAAATCTTTATCTCCTTTATTCATTTGAGAGTGTGGTGAGTTTGAGTGAGTGATCTTGTTGCTGTCTGAATGTTCCATTGATATGTCAAAATATATTACTTAGGTGACTGGCTTTAAAATGAACTTTTTCTTTTGGGTTACCTTTGACTTTGAAAAGGTGTTTATGGTGATGTGCAACGTGTGAAGATTTTATACAATAAGAAAGACAGTGCTCTTATACAGATGGCTGATGGAAACCAGTCACAGCTGGGTAAGAGTAGTTTTCTGTTTATATTCCTATTAGTCTAGGTACTTGAAATTATGCTGTGTAAAATCAGGTGAACTAAGCATGGTTACATTTATCAGTTTGTCTTGTATACTGGTTACCCACAAGATCTAAAATCTTACTGCGTGCATTTGTATTCCAGAAGGTCTGCACAATATCCTAAATTAATTCAGTAGCTGATTCACATGTGATGGTCTATATAAAATTATTGCTGATGCACATTCTTCAGACCTAGTTCTTGATCCTAGCCTTTTAGCATATTGACCCTTTGATTTGCTTGGGTGTTTTTCTTGTTTGCTTGTGTGATGTACCACAAGCTGTTGAAAAGTAGCACTGAATTGAGTAAACTTCTTTGTCTTCTTCAGCCATGAGCCATCTTAATGGACAAAAAATGTATGGAAAGATTATTCGAGTTACCCTTTCTAAACATCAGACAGTACAACTACCTCGAGAGGGACTTGATGACCAAGGGCTGACTAAAGATTTTGGTAATTCACCTCTGCATCGCTTCAAGAAACCTGGTTCAAAAAACTTTCAAAATATATTCCCTCCTTCTGCAACACTTCATCTATCCAATATTCCGTAAGTGTTGTCTCTCAGTAAGGTAGTAGTATTAATATGGATCACAACACACTGAATTGTCTAATAATTCCTTGCTTATGCTTATTTTCTTTCTGTCTGTAGACCATCAGTAGCAGAAGAGGATCTACGCACATTGTTTGCGAACACTGGAGGCACTGTGAAAGCATTTAAATTTTTTCAGTAAGTAACTTTCTGTACATAACTCTAACAGAAGACTGCCTAAGTGCATTTTTGCAGCATGTCTTAAGGAAAAGTGCATAGAGGATAGAAAACATTAGGAGAAACCCCTGTAGTATTCGAGTTCCTAATGCCATAATTTTGTTTCAGAAGAGATCACAAGATGGCACTTCTTCAGATGTCAACAGTAGAAGAAGCTATTCAGGCTTTGATTGATCTTCACAATTACAATCTGGGAGAAAATCACCATCTGAGAGTTTCTTTCTCTAAGTCAACTATTTAAAAAGGCAGATTGAAAATGAGGGTGTATTGCATTGTTTGGTGTTGTCACCTATTGACTGTTCAGGAAAGTGGGGACCAGAGTTTGTCTTCAGTTGTTTGTTTTTATTTTTTTTTTTTTTTCATGCTGTTATCATTCCTTGATTGTTTCAAAAAATAAAAATTAATAATAATAAAAACAAGCAGTGATACTAACTGCTGTTGTTCAACTGTTGTTTAGATAAACCATCATTTTGTTTAAAAGATTTCGAGTTAGTACCACAGTTTTTCAACTTAGTTGACATACGTGCCTTAAAAAGGAAAACTAGTACTGCTGGAATTGCATAACTAGTGAAAAGCGAATTTGGTTGTCTGGGGCACATTGTTACATGGTAATTTAAGTATGTTTAGGCAGGGGTGTGTAAAAAGGTTAAGCTTTTGTTTCTCCTGCTTGATAGATTTCTTTATCTGCTGGCTTGTCACTTATTTTTCTTTTTAATTGGAGAAGATGCATTATGCTGAAAGAGTAAAATGACGTTTTTTGATTTCTGCAACTTTTTGCTTTGTGCTCTTTTTTTAAAAAGGCCTTTTGTATTTCATGGTTCTGGTCTAGATTCAGTTATGAATGTAGGCATTAGTTAAAATTAACAAGGTACAGAATATTAATTTCTTAAAGGACAAAAAGTGACTTCTGTGACTTTGAGCCCTATGTGAAAAGCATTGTGGAATCTTAACCTTTTTGTACACACTCTTGTGGGATGTATCATATAAATGTCAGCACTAAGTAATGTCTTGTTTGTGGCTGAATATTTTTTGTAGATGTTTTTGAAGTTGACATGACTTATGTGCATTTCAATATATATTGCCATCTTTAGTTTGTAATTAAGATATGGAATATGGTCATGGATTTCTGAGCATGTACAGACTGGTCAAGCTAGTTCAGGAAGTGGTGCATGTATTTTTCAATGATGAAGAAAGTTTGCTGCAAATGCTTGCAGGAAATTTTGTGGCAGTTCTCTAAAACTGACAACCAGGTGGGACCAAAGTTTATGTGCCTTTAGTCTTAATTTACCTTGCATTGTAATATTCAGTTTTAATAAATCTCTTCGAAATATTTTGTATTTAGAAATTGATCTGACTTTACTATAAACATGGCTCAGAATCTTCAGAACCAGTTAATTTGGAAACAGTTCTCTGTCAGTCTGAACTGTTACCTTGATTCTGTTTAAATGACCAATACTTTTTGAAATTGATGTACTTAGTTTCAAGATTCATAGATTCTGTTATCTATGTAGAAAAAAAAAAAAAGGTCATGTATATTTTCTATTAGTTGAGTTTTTACATCTTTAGAATTGTAAAATTCAGTATAGTTTGAAAGTGGCACAATTAAAAATTAATTTTCTAACAAAGTTGGGAGGTTTGATGGTTGTTTAATTTCATTTTGTGTGTACTCTGCTTACCTCTGTAGCATGCTCAATAAACACTTCTGTAGCTCTGTATTCACCTTTTCTGTCTTTCTCTGCTGCTTTCTCTCTCTCTTCTTCTTTGTTTTTCCACTTCTACTGTGCTTCTAAATTCATGTTTATTCTCTGCCAGGGTGGGAAAAGCATAATATTAAAAAATACAATTTATGGCTTTTTACCATGAATCTGATGCTGTGAAAAATACCAGCTCTTTATTTTCAGAAAGATAGTGACCCCTTTGCAGGCATATATGCATATTAAACATTTCCCACCCTGTTATAACTTACTGCTTTAAAGACATAACTTTTATTGTAGTTCGTTAGCTCTCTCTTTCTATCTTTTTAGTTTTTAAGCAGATTTATGCACTAATAGATCTCTCAGGTTTGCCATGCTCTCTTGCTGCAGTTTCATCTTTCATTTTTTTTTGTGTCTGCTAAAGATTTTCTACTAATCATATAGTATACTCATGGGTTAAAGTAACAAAAGTTTTTAACATTAGGTTAGTGGACCATACATATCCCAGAGCAGGATATTTCACCTTTGCAGAGACCTGAGCTCAAATGAATGTAAAAACAGTTGGGGCATTTCTTCATATTACTTTGAACTGATTTTTCTGTTTTTTTTTTTTCCCTCTATGAGAAATAGGATTAAAACTTTTACACAGGTCCCTTTTAAGGGTAACTGTATGATCCTCAAGCATTACATTGGTAAAAGCTGTCAGTGTTCAATTCGAAGCATTTTTCTGTCACTTCTCTGCTACAACTACTGTAGATTTATTGATGTCAGATTACTTTGTGACCTGATGTCTGTTCTTCGGGTTGGCTTTCAAATCAATAAATAGCTATCAGCTTTTTAAAGGTCATGGTATAACGTAGGGGGTTTGCATTAGTCTTCACTACATTAAATAAAATGCATTAGGTTCTTATCTGCTTTATCAGAAATACACATAAGATATAACTTAAGTTGTACTTCAAGTAGCACAGTGATCACCCAGTCTGAAATGCTAGCAGAAACAAATTCATCCATACATGAAACTTGTGAATCAGCATCATTTTACACCTCAGACCCCCAAACACATTGATGTGACCATCTCCCAACTGAACGCTAGTTAAGGGTCTGACTGAGCTGATCTCTTAAATTTTTCATCTATATAGTATGGTGTCCTGTATTTTTAAGAGTAAAAATGTGTCAGGTTTCTTTTTCAGTATCAGAATATGCTTGCATGTTTTAAATAGAAATGTGAATTGAAATTCACTATTCCGTGGGTTCAGCTTGTGCCGAACTATTTCCACTCTAAAACATCTGTATCAGATAGCATACAGTGATTGCTGTATGTATAATTTTGAAATAATTTTAAACATCTACAGTGCTTGAGAGTTTACAAATACAGGGTTTTTGTAAAACTGTAACTTAACTCATCTCTTGCCAGGCTTATTTCCTTAAAAAGAAGTTTCTACACTTCTCATTTTGGAAAGTTCTGTGGCAAAAACCTCAAGGGAAAGAATATATATTGAATTTGATTTGTAATAAGTTCAGTAACTTTTATTATGAGGTTATATTTTGTATCAGCCAAAATCAAAAGTATTGATAGTCATAATTGTAATGTGGTGGTTTGGTTTTTTTTACTAAGTCAGTGGAGAAAATCACTGTTCAGTTATTGATACTTAGCCTTTAAGGTGGTATCTCTTCAGAAAATACAGGTTTAATGTCCTAACTGCTAGAACTTTCAAAAACTTGTTTTTCTTGAGATGGTACTGCATTTTGTATAGCAATTTGTACATTTTTGTTATTATAAAATGTAAATAAGTTTGTTGTATTTTTAGCTCTTCGAATGTGAAAATTCAAAGCATTTTTATTAAAATTTTACTAAAAATAAGGTTTATGAATAACTTCTTACACTCCGTGGAATGTGAGTTTTCAGATTATGTTAGTAGAACTTTACTATAGACCATGACCAAAGTCCATTTCAGATTTTTAAAATAATTCTAGTATTTTGACAGAAGGCAGTTGCTGATATTTCCCCCCCCCCCCCCCCTTCATTTGTGAATTGTTAGATTTTTCTCTAATGGAGCATTGATATTGGTTGGAGAAGTCTAAAAATGATTCTTTGATCAGGTAATGTCTGCTGGCAAATATAATGCATAAATGAAGTAAAACAAAGCCCGATAGCATTCTGACTAAAAAATTGTAGCAAAACTTAAGTGAATGCACTTGGAAGCGTTTCTATATGTTGTGATTTAACATGTTACTAAAATACACCTTTGCCCTGCAGGAATAACAGCTCATATGACTATTTGTAGGTTACTGGTTTTAATGTTTTACATTAATTTTCAGTTTTATAAGCCATCTTACAAAAAATCCCTTTGGTTAATTGTAAGTATCCTTCTGTTTATTATAATATGCTACAGAATGAGAGCACCAATCAGACCTTTATCTGCAGTATTTAAGGCACTGCAATTTCATATCCTAGTTTAGATAATTTTTCTGTGCTTAGAAAATAAGTAGCTGTTGAAACACTAGAAAAGATAAGAATTGTGTCTTTCTCTGCAAACAGGTATGTACGTCCACTAGTCCTTCTCAAGAAATGGTTTTCCCAGTATTCAATGTTTTACAGTGAGCAAGGCTTCTTAAAAGGTTTGACTGTGTTAAGTAGGATGAGGCTGAAGTCTGTATCTGTTAGACCTTATTCCATTCAAGAGACTGAAGACAACCTAAAGGTCAGAGTTTTGCTGAGGTAAACAAATTTTATTTTAAATAATTTGGCAAAATGTCCCATATCCTGTAATCCTGGTCTTTGTAGAAAGGGCTGTGTAAGTTGCGAATGTGGTCTGGATCATATTTGAAGATAGGTTTTCCCAGGTCTTGGTTGTGCAACATCTGCAGTATTTCTTACCTTCTGGATTTCCTAGGGAACAGCTTCAGACTGCTAGTGTGGTTCTCATCCACGCAGAGGATGAGGAGACAGACTAATTTGTTCTGAAACAGTGGTATTTGTCATGCTATTTTTTTACTTTATGGGCCTTGGCAAAGTTAATCAGTGGACTGCAGTAATCTAACTGCAGAGAACAATAATCTATTATAAATTTTTCTGTTAGTCCACAATTATCTTGATAGAACCAGTGGCAAGGTTCCTGCTGTGCTGAGGAATTATATACCACCTTAATGGAGTTTTAGAGAATTAACTTATTTTTTGTTCTTTTAATATAAGAATTTATTTAGAATTACCTAATCTGAGTCTCTTGAGCTTTGAAAATACCTACAGTGCATTGGCATGCACGCACGCGTGCTTGGTTTCTTCAGGATGGTTAACAAAATGAGATTGGTGAGTTCCTGCTTCACCTAAAAAATAATGTCACTTTTACTGCATGATATACCTTTGCTGTGATTTTCTGAGTTTACTGAACTTTCCCCTGATGACCAAACTGAATTTGGAAGAAGAATATGTTGCTTTGTTTTTCCCCGTCAAAGTTTACAGCATGTAATGTTTAAAATCTATTCTTTCACGATTAGTTCTGCATGCAGGCAGCAAAGAAAAAGCAAAGAACTTTCTTTCCTCAGGAAAATGTGAATTAAATGCGTATTGGCTTAAATGTCTCCAAAAAAAAAAATAATTAGCTCAAAATAGCACTCCTATTATTGAAGAGCTCTGCATGTTTTATGAGTTTTAGCCCAGTTTCAGAAGGAAATGAGACATGCATAATTGCCCTGTCGGCATGTGAATGTCCTGTTCCCTAGATAACCTCTGTCTCCCTCCTGCACCCTTTGGCTGGTTTCCTGTCAGACAGAGGGGATGGAGGTCTCCCGTACAAAGGTGTTACTATTTCTATGCTCATGATTAGTTGTCTTGCTAGGTCAAAGTCCATCCTTTCTGTGCTGTGGGAAAGGGAAGGGTAAAATTTTTTTTATACTGGGTGGAGTACACGAGAAACTGGATGGAAGGGATGTTTTGCAGCAGGGACGATATTGGACAGAGGAGCACTGAGGGAGTTTCAGTAGGTTTAAGTTGTTTTCATGCATAAATACCCCTTAAAAATCATTGCTAAAGGGAGAGTTGAATTATTTTGGGGGGTTATTTTACAAACAAGTCTGGGCAGCATCAGTATAGCTTGTGAGATAAATGTACTATATTTTCACTTCGGCTCAACAAGTACAGAGGTGTTGGAGCTTAGCAATTGCATGCAGACTGCTGTGGAAGCTGGTTTTCCCAGGATGACTATGGATCATCCCTGGAAGACAGCAAGACTGAAAGCCTGAAGCCTCTAGCCCTAAGATAGGTGACGTGTCAGGGTAGTTTAGTATGATTGATGCTGATGGCTTGCCAAAGAACTAGATAAAGTGAGCTAGTGGGATCTAGTAAAAGATTTGTTAGAGGAGTCATCAAAAGTGACACATTGGAACTGGCATTTTTTGAAGAAAAAAACGTCTACTGTAAAATTTCTGACCATCTGTATTCCTTGGAATGGTGCTCCAGTATCCTTTGGGCTGACCCTATCCCCTTTAGTTCCTTAATGCCCTGGGCTTATCTCTCACGGCATCAGCACCCTTTGAGGATTTCAGTTGTGCAGCTGAAATCATGCTGGACTAGTCTGATCTTTCCTGAAGCAAGAGAGTTTCTTGGCAGCTGCACCTGACAAGCACCAGTGATCTGCTCTATGTGGTGGGACACCAGCCTTGCTGCTGCTTTAAAGCATTGACAGTCCTCAGCTAGTAAATAGCCGCAGTGCTGTGCCAACAAAATACTCTCTTCAGTGTGCTGTGCTTTTTTTGCTGAACATTAACCTTCAGGTATTGACTTTAAGGTAATTTGGGTACATTTGTTGTGAACAAGGGTTGTGTTTCAAAGTGTGGGGGATTTTTCTTTCTTTTTCCCCTCTCTTGTTAGACACAGACAGATTTTCCTGTTGATGTTTATAGATAATAGACCAGAGGCCACCTTCATTTCCCAGTTCTCAGGCAAATTACGGTAAACCTTAACCATTTTGGTCAGAGGTGTGTCTAACGTGTTCTTCAAATGCTGAAGGCAGAAGTTGCACAAC